GCGCGTTATGCCATACCGCGGCATAAAGCTTGCGAACGATGCAGGACCCCTCCCCCCTCACCCCGTACGTGCTCTCAATGCCACTGTGGGAACGAGCGAGCCGAGTATATCCAAATGAAAGATCGTTTTCCAACTGCTGAGGCTAATACGGCCGTAGCGAAATTACGAGGGGTGTCGCTTCTGAGCGACGGGGTTACGACAATGGGAATTTTATCTGCCATTTCGCGAATATATACACGCTCGCACCGGACCCGCGACTCGCGGGAGAGGATCTCGTCAGCTTGTAAGAGAGGTGCCGGAGCGTCGGAGGTAAGAGGGCCGGGAAACGCTGCTGGAAACACTTGCGCACGCCCGCGTGCGTGCATATTGCGGGGAAAATAGCTTAGTTTCGCCGTGGGAGCGAAATTAGATTTCGTTCGAGAAGACGTTCCGAATGTTCGCTCTCTAACCTTCCTTTCTTTTATCTGTCCTACGCCACCTCTCTCCTTGAGGTACCCCGCCAACCACCCACCATACCGCCCTCATTCTTTCGCGTCTCCCTCTTCAACTCTGGACCGCCACGTTCTTCCTCCATCAGGTTATACCCCCGCTCTTCCGTCTTCCTTCACGCTGAGATTCCGGTTTCCCCGGAGACGCTCGACGACGTCGCGACGCTTCCCCACGTTCCGCGGTACTATGCATATTTCACCAATTTTTATGGAATTCCTCGTAGACTTCTTTCCGCCTCCTCTTCCTCTGTTTCGATTACAAACGTATATTTCATTCTGTTTTTCAATCGTTTACCCTTTCTTTTGTTTTTTGCTTCATTTATTTTCTTACTGGTTTGTTTCGCATTAAAACTTCCTTGGTAATCATTCTACTTCTTATAGATGTAGCATGTATCTTACTTATGTCGCGATCTTGTCTAAGATATTAGAGAAATTTCAAATAAAAATATTTTTATTATTTCCTTTATGCATCTGAACAAAATATATAAATGTATTAAAATATTAATTCAATGAAAAAATTTTCTCCGTGTAAAGAAATTTGCATTTCGCAACAAAAAGAATTATGACTCTTGTTTAAATTAATAAATTATCATAATGTCATTTAAGATCGCCTGTTTTGATTAATGAAAGATCTTGAAAGTTAAATATTAATCGTGTATAAAACCGATACCTTGTTATACCTTGTCGCAGAAATCATATATTAATGTCATTTCATAAAAGAATTTGAATGCACATGTTCCCGCTTAGCAAGATTTCAACATTTACGTACAAATCGCGTAGGCGTAGATCGTTACCTTTTAAGCAAAGCTACGTGGAATACGTAATCGCACATCATCCTTGTTCACTCTCACGTACGAAGGCTGATACGTCAATAAATTGATTACACGAGCGAAACTGCATGTCACTAATCTGGCTAACCAAATTAGGAGACATGCATGTACTGTGAAGTGGCATTATTTATCATATCTATAAATATCTGTTATCTTTTGCAATCGCAAGCGATCATACCGATTTGTGTATGTTGATAACGTTAATTTAATTAAAACTCTGCACTGCGTAGAAACTATATACATATATATACATATATATATATATATGTATATATATATATGTATATATAAGCGTAATATTTACATAAATTTTTATTGTATACGACATTTTAATATAAGAGAACCTTCGCGTAAAATTTTGTTCTTTTATCTGCAGCTAACCGTACTTTCCCTTTCATTGTACATATTTGTTTCTAATTCCCGTGTTAATAATGCACATATATCCGGGTATCATAAGTTTAATCTACAAATATAATTAACTTAGAAAAATGTAAAGACAAAGATTAATATTTTGTTTGTTAATTTAATAAAATTCCATCCTGAGACTTTCACTGGAAACAAATTAATATTGATAATGAAAGTACTATTACTTTCTCAATTAAGATTTAATATGATAATATCATTAATATGAGACTTTTCGTCTCTTATTCATTTTATAGAATATTAAGCGTACTCTTCATTATACTTTCTTTTTCTTATGCCAATGAAATTTCTTGTGGAAAAAGGTCAAATCACTCACAGGAGATCGTCGAAATCCTTTCGATACACATCGCCTGTCACCTTTCTCCGCTCACTATGAATTTACTATGCTCTCTTTCCATAAAATATGGGCCGTCAAATAGAAAATGCAATATACATAAATGCACTTGCATTCGATCTCATTTTTTTAATATCTAGCGATTACATTTTTCAATAAATATTAGTATCTAGTATTTACAGATTACAGTTATTTTAACAAAATAAAAAAAATATATATATAATTTAAGAATAAGAGATAGAAAGTTTAACATAATATTAATAACAATCTGAAAAAAATCATAATATATAAAATATTCTAGGACCGCTACGTTTCTTTTTACCTACGGATTGTGCGATTGTAAATTTAAAGTAATCTTTTTTTATTAAAATTTTTAAAGATTCTATTTTTATTATTTTAATTTATAAGTTGATTGTCAAAATATCTAAAAAAAAAATTTTATAAATACGAAGCAATATATAATTTTTATATAATCAAAACTGCAGAAAATTTCATATTTGTTTGAAAAATTAGTAACAATTTTCTCACCTATGATATGGTAACATTAATTGCATTATTACTTGTAATACTTAGAACGTGTGCAAAAAAATTGTCCTAGAGACCCACTTTGTTCTAATACGGATGCGGAAGGAAAAAAAATATAAGGTGAGAACGTTCCTAATTTGGTGATTGTAATTACACACTGTGTATTGTTTTAAATCGCGACCACACGTACCACATGTATGAAATCACAAAAGATAAGTGAGCAAACGCAACCGTGTCTTCCGGCTTGACATGAGAAGGATTTAGTGCCACACAAAAGGTATTATTTTAATTAGGCCAAGTCGGCGAGAAGTTAAAGAAAATATCTTTGGAGCGCACCGGAACGGTTTGAATGTCGTTATCTTCCAAATGGTCCCTAAAATCTCATGAAAGAAAATTCTCGTTTTTTGAGGTTCTCGCTTTCAGCAACTATTTGCTATTCACAGGAAAGACAATTTTGCCTTCGGCGATGGGGCTACGTCGGGCATACCGGCAACGATACATCCGAGACTCCGCCTGTCGGCTTGCCTTATATTCCGTATATATCGTCCATGAGGCAACAACGTGCCTCTTGAGATCAGTATGACTGTCGGTGTGTACGGATACGACGTCAGTATGGAAATAAAGCACTTCCGAGCTCCGCGAAAAATGCATACGTTCCCGCTGGCTAACCCTTGAAACCTTCCTTCGAGATCCCTTCCAATCCCTCCTCGTCACCAGCTCGTCCCGAAAAACCGGCAACTCCACGCGATACGGCGTATACGATTAGGGGCTACATAAGAAGGAAGTCGTTACGCGCCTTCGAGATCACCTAACAGCTGATAAAATTCACTTCGTCTTTGTAGGCATCAACTCTTTTCCTTCGTAGCAAATTCTAACGTCTTATGCGGGTTTGATGAATTTTAACGAGTTCCGGATATTATCACCCGCTAAATTTATTCGTCCTTCTAATATCTGCTGTGTAATCTATTTAACATGAAACGAGATAATTTTGTTGTAATCGTGATATTGTCTTTTCTGATCTTACAATAGATTTGATGTGTCATAAGATTGAAAAAAATGTTTTTTAAAATATATTAAAATGTTTCAACATAAAAATCTGTTAATAGTTTTTTATCTTTTCTCTCCCTTTTAATAATAATATAATTATTTTTATTATTGTATAATTAATTCAAAGACATAATAAATTATTGTTATACATGTTTAAAGTTTAAAAGTAATTATGCTAAGTTCTCACAGATATTTATTGACATTTTAATATTTTAAACTAGTTACTAATATCACATATATATAAAAGATTCAACAAAACTACGAAAATTACGTCTTACGTTGTCGTCAATTAGTTTACTCAACGTGACCCACTGGTTTAACGCGAGCAAGATCATCTTTATAACAGGAAACGTGTGAATATTCTCATAGCTTCAGTTTCAGATGGCACAGGAAGTTTCATGATCGTATTGTCTGGTAACGCGAAGCAGTACGTAGTGGAGAGGAAGAGAAGTAACGCGCACACGGGACAACGGTAGATAGTGAGAAAAGAAGCTGACGAGTACAAGGCGGCAAATGGATTCACGTGGAAAATCTGCGAGTAACGATTTCAGCACGAGAAACTGGGTGCTAACCATAGCTAACCGAAGACGAAGCGATAGCGTTTCATTTACATAACCGTAATTCTACTTAGTGGTGGATACCTAATTCCCTCATACGTTTCCGTTTCTCCCGCCGCCGTGCCAGAATTCGTGGTATTTAGGCGACCGCCGATTTAGCTGAGTACTTTCTCGAGACAAACACTTTCAGATGTGCAAACTTGTAATCCACATTACGGCGGGCCAATCTCTGCAAATGGACTCGAAAACAACGTGTTACCGTAATATCCTACACTGTTAATGCCAATATTTACGGCCGGTCTTGGTATAGCTGCAAATAGAGAGTAAATCACGTAAAATACACTAACGATACAGAGAGAAGAAACGTCTATTACATAAGATTATATTGCGATTTCGGTTTATATTATTACATTTATTATCCAACTGTCTCATATAGTAAATTAAAGTAGGATAATGGCGAAGGAGGGAGCAGAAATGAAAATTAACCTCTATTTACAAAGTATTCATATGTATATTTACATGAGGAGCATATATTAATTAAAGAATACAGGCTAGTAAGATCGTTATATCCGGCGAGTGATCGCGTCGATTGCTCGTCGAATATAAAAAACTCTGTGTATAAAATATAAATTAAAATCCTAATAAAATGTAGTATAAATTAAAATCCTTAAAAAAAGGTGGATATGGGTTAGGAGCAAATGGATGCGTTTTATGGCTTGGCAGTATCGTCACTGCGTACTTTGTAACAATGAGCGTCTCTTAAAACTATACGCTCTACTTATTTTACGTATCTGCAATACACCAAGTTATGCATAACCGTTTGCCAGGCGAAAGGGCATAAAAATGCAAGAACTTTAAGATTATGCCACACTCGGGATTTTAACGGTGCGCTTTCACGACAGGCGCTCATTTTCAACTTACGCGCAGAACTGCGAATCCTGAGTCGCGTAAAAGTCGTTAATACGCGAGCGGCGGAAGGAAGTAACGTACATCGCTTGCGTTCTCTCGTGCCCGATGGTAGTCGACGTTTCTTTTTTTTTTTTTTTTTTTTTTAAGTTCTCCGCGTGCACGGCCCTAAAGCACGCGTACGGCATGCGTGTATCTCCTCGCACGCACCTGACGGCGGACTAGACGGTAATGTAGGTCCGCATCCGCCGGTTATCGTCACAAAGGCATGTAAAACCAAGCGTGTCGCGCTTGCACGCGTCCGCAGAGAGACGAGCAATGCGTTTCACTCGGAACGAGATTCTCATAGGAACCGGGCGCTGTGCCGCCGGGTCGTTAAAATGAGGTTCTGAACTTTCACCTCGGTAAAGACTAAAAACTCTGTGAAAGATACGAGGCCGTCGATCAATCCAACTGGCGAATGACCAAGTGACTTTACACGAGTGCACCGGTATCGCTAACTGCAGACGCTTCGCGAGAGCGGAGTGCCGTAACCTATTGACCTACATACAGGTGTTAATAAATGTCGCCTCGTATACCGCGCGCTTAACGTTTTCATGCATTGTGCGAGAGCAGCGAATGCCAGACTTTGGCCACCTTTTTTTTTCGAATCGGATCGAAAGGCGTGGTGGCGATCGATTATCAATAATCCGACAAAAATCTCGTTCGACATTTAAATAATTCCCCTCGTACCTAGTTCTCGAAAGAACTATCGAGTCAACGAGATTTCCATGGACGAGGACAAGATAAGCCGCTGACGCGAGGACACGGAAAAGTCGGAGCGTTTTGAGTCGGATCTTAGCAAACGTTTGACCTGATAAAAAGGATCAGCACTCACGAACGTGAAATCTTCTCACACGATAAAAATGCCGTTGATACCCCCCCCCCCCCTCCGCGTCTCTTCCCACAAGCGCTCTGTAATCTTGGTGAGAGGCGAGAAATTCTTGAGCAAGCGGACGATTCGTCTAATAGGACGTTATCGATACTGGCCAACAAGCAATCGTCACTTTCGCTTGCTTAAACGAAAATAAGATTGCAAAAAGAAAAAAGGATTGCGTAAACTTTCGTTTCGTGTTCGCGCATTTCATGCCTTCTAATTTCAATTTCCAGTCGATCAGATATTTCTTCGGCGTACTATTAAATTACGCAATCTCGTGTCTTTGTTGAAACAATTTTTAAAAATAAATGCAATAAAACGAGTTACTAGAAAGTTTCAACATTGAATTGCTAAACATCGATTTATCGCAACTTTTTTTTGGAATAGAAATTCTAATATATTGATATACATGGACAAATGATCGTTTGCGGTTGCGGTCATACATTTGAAGCAAAAATACCAAAGAACTTGTAACGCTAGAATGTTACATGTTTTTATCAAGAGACGCGACGGCGGCGGCGCGCGGTGTCTCGCGCCAAGTATCTATATTTTTCAAGATATTCGAATATGCAAGAAACATTCGAAGATGTGTCGTGACTATCGCAACATAATTTTAATATGAAGAATCGATATTTTGATTAATCACAAGCAAAGAAAGTAAACGGCATCACGTTAGCAGCGCTATCTTCTCTCTCGTCGAAAGTGGAAATCAACAGAAGTCTCTGCAAAGAGAATCAGGGCGATTGCGAAGCTATATTAAGAGTACTGAAAAATATTTTTACAAAGGCACTTATGAATTAATTTACGAGGATTTTGTTTTATTGTTGTTCTGCTTATTTTCCCTCATGACTTGTGTTTCGTTTTTCGACGTCGACCTAATCTCTTTTTTCGCTTCTCCGTATTTAGTATCAAAGAACAAAGCTATTGACGATTGATTTTTTAAATACTTCCTATCCTCATCCTTATCGCTAACTTTTTCGACCCGATCTTGCAGTCCGTTGTTTTGCGCTTGACTATCTACGGTGATGAAGTGACCGTTGGTGACACCAGTTTCTTGCGGATGCAAATCAGGACCGAAAACTTTATCCAATTGCTGAAGCTGCGGTAAACCTTGAAGTTGTATAACACCGTTTTCCGGCTGCTCTATGGCAGCCAGTATGTCCTGAAGAAGGCCGTTCGACAACACCTGATCGTGTCGGATGCTGCCATCCGAGTTCTCGGTGCCCAGTCCGCCGTCCGCTGGCTGTATCTGCAATCTGTAAGTGCCCTTGGAACCGTGAATCTCAAAGCCGTCGGCATTGTCAGCGGTCAGTCTCTGGGCCAGTGACAATGCCTCGCTACCCTCGCTCGATTTCAGAAATTGACTAGCGTCCACCTCATTCGATCCGATGTTCTTCTCGTGGCTCAAGCCCTGCGCGGTCAAGCTTGCTGTTAGCGCTTCGGCCGAGATTCCTGAACCGCGCACGAACGACGATGCCGCGGGATAGACATTACGAGACTGACTAGACACTTGCGCGGACAGCTCGTTCGAGATGTCTGCAACGGATGTGTGAACGGCACTGGCATCGCTCGCTTCGTTCGACGAATCGTAAGTTAGTCCTACGGGATTGCCGTAGCTGTCCTTTAAATTGGTCTTCTGCAGTTCGGTATGCTCTAAATCCAGTGTGCTCACCGGAGGACCTCCCAGAAAATTGTCAAGCGGTTTCGTGAGCGGCAGTAAATTATCCGCGAAAACGGAATTCTGATTGTTGACGTCGGATAAATCGTTTCCCGCGAAAACCGCGTTGTGACTGTCCGCGTTTCCAGCGGAGGGCCCTGCATTTTCAAAACCGAGCTTGCCGCTAGAATGCGCGGGTAATCCACCACCTAACGATAGTCCCTCGCTCGAGGGCCCTTCACCACCCGAAGATAAGCCTCCACTCAAGTGTAGCTCTCCGCTGGAATGCAATTCTCCGCCTGAAGGTAAACTACCGCTTAAAGGTAGCTCTCCGGTTGCGGACAGTCCTCCACTTGAATGCAACGCCCCGTTCACGGGCAAGAGTGGCTGCAAGGAATTGCAATCGTAACCACCGCCGCCGATTGATAATGGCGCGTTTACCACAGGTGTTCCGTACGTTGTCAGCGTATTACCAATTCCGCTGTAGAGATTATTACCAAATCCGGAAGATGTTGAGATAAAGGAGGTCGGTGGGCCAAAATTAGGTGCTCCGTAAGTTAAGTGTGGTGCTGGTGTATTGAAATCGTTGAACGATAACGGAGTTCCGTATTGAACGTGAGGCGCGGCAATCGGAGAATGCAAGTGGGGTAGATTAAACGAACCTGACGATCCGAAAGAGCCCGAAAATAAATTACCCGAGCCCGACGTATGACGGAAAGACACTGGCACGTGAAGATTTGGTAACTGCTGTTGTTTTGCAAATGGCGGTAAATAGCGATTAAGATTTGACAAGAGTCCCGTTGGTATTGGTTCCCTGAATTTAATCGGATCTCGATTTCGCGGTGGTATAAAAGAGCCAACGGGAATTGACGGCGGCCTGAATGGGCCATGAAAACGAGGAGAATGCAGGTTCTGCTTATGAAAAGAGCCTCCAAATATTCCGAATGACGAAAACAACGAGCCTCGTCCTCCGTGCGCCGCAGGATAGGGACCATTAGGCGAGTAAGAGGAAAGAGGTGGTGCACCGTAGGAATTTAAAGGTGGAGGAGAAAGCAGAGATGCTCCTGGTATATCGGTAGGCTTTCCAAAAGCAGTTAAAGGCGGACCGTAATCGCTCGACGGCGATTGCTGCGGAAGCTGTTGCAGGGACAGATCGTTTCCTATATTTTGAAATCCGTGAGCACCTCCGCCATTGCTTAGAGCGTCGGCGTGGGATGCGCCACTATCCGATGTCAACTCTAGTCCCGAGTGAAGCGGAGCGGAATTGGTATTAACCGAATTTGAGATGTGATTGAATGATGAGATGTCAGAAGTACCACCTGAACCTGAGAGGTCCGCGTTCAAAGCGCCGGTTGTCGGCAACAGTTCAAATCCCACTGTCTTTACGATGGACAGTGGTTCGATGTTCGGCGCTCCGTACTGTAAGTTTAATTGCTGTCGACCGAACTGATGATCGGATTGACTGGACGTAGTGATGACACCCGGACCTTGATTGTTGTGCAGAGGTTCGTTCTGCGGCAACGGCGGCGGCGGTAATCCATTGCTCTCCGAGGAAGCCGAGGACTCGCGCACGGACGTCTTCAGATCTTGATCTTCAGGGTTCTGCAACGGCACGCCATAGGAATCGCTGGGCACATTCGCATCTATCGAGGTGCTCAATGAAGCGTGAGACAATTGCGTTCCCGCCGAACTTTCGACGTAATTATGCTTCGCGTCGAGGGGAGGGCCATATGTATCTGTCGGTGGACCACTTTGATTAGGGGTGGTAGCCAATCCCGCGATGGGCTGCCATCCATCGTACTTTATGTCAGGGGGTGTGGGTGGCGCTGGAACTCCTGGCGGAGGTGCTGGCGGTGGAGGTCCGTATAAATCACCGGCCGGTGGACCGTATTGCGGTTGCGGCACAGATACGGGCGGCGGCGGTGGACCGTACTCGTCATTGGGCAGAGGATTAAACTGAATAGCTAATTTCGGAGGCGGTGGACCGTAAGTCTCGAGCGATAGAGGGATAGGTGGTCCGTGACCTGGCTTAGGCGGTATATATTGCTGACTCGATGTAGCTACGAGCTTCAATGGCGGGCCGTACTGCGGTTTCGGTGATCTGAACGGCGGGAACGAAATCAACGGCGGCATAAAGTGTTGTTTCGGTAGTCCATAATGAAGTTTCGGCGGGCCGTAAGTAGGCTTAGAAAAAAGGGAAGACGTCGCCAGGCCGAAACTTTGTTTCGGCGGCCCATATTGCGGCTTAACACCTCGTGGTGGCCCGTAGGAGACGGCCAACGATCCGAATACAGGTGGCGGCAATTCCGGCGGTGGCGGCGGATAAATAGGTGTTGGTCCAAGATTACCGACTAATTCCGGTGGCCCATATACTGGCGCTGGTCCCTTAAAACCAGATCCCAACGGTGGCCCGTACTCGTCAGCCGGAGAATCGAAAGTATTACTTATTCTGTCATCGGCTTTAACCTTGGATTTCTCTTCTTCCTTGATTAACGGTACTTGCGAGGTCGCTTTGTTGACTACCGCTTGTACATGATGTCCAATTAACAGGACGCAGAACAGCGCAAATAGCATCTAAAAGCAGAACGGGATGACTAGAATCGGAGAAAGTGACGGCTTCACGGCTATTGCAATTAATTTTGTTTTTATTTTTCTTACTAATTATCTATGATTACTGGAAATAAACTCGTAGAATAATATCGACTTATGTAAAGATAATAATACATTGCGCTCAAGATCTTGGAAGATTTAACTGCAGCAAAAACAATATTATTTCGTAATGAAGCATAATTTCACTTTTCAAATTTTATTTACATTAATTTAAATGGCTTCATTTTATAATATTTAAGTATAGAATAGATAAATGTGAATTAATTAAATGATAACTGTTGATTTAATACTATAATATAAGCATTGCAATTTATAAAAATTTAGTTATTATAATTATATTATAAGTCATTTTTCAATATTAAAAATTCCTAAATTTTACTTTCACACTTTTACATTTGCATCTTTGCTTTTTATTTCTTTATGTAATTATGATAAAACGTGTCAGAATATATTGCATAAATAGGTACTATATTATAAGATTATACTCTATTCCTTTGTATAAACGTTATTATCGAAAATGAAAGGGAAATAATTACATCTTGCACATATCCATTCAAGCATCCGAAACGCCGTACGTGTTCTAATTAGTTCGTTGGGCGCTTAAGAATAGTTTCGCAGAGCGTATGAAGATCACCCATGCTATTGTGTAGTGGCCATATTGGAGGCCGTGAGAACTCCTGTGTTATTCGCTTAAGCCCGGGAAGTCATCTCAACGTATGTGAAAATTATGTAAAGCCACGTTTACACATTCTGGGCATTAGGGAAGCGTGCACGTGAGTGAATAATTACGTCAATTGTAAGCGGAATAGCAGGTGTTGCACGAAGAGGAATTACGAAAAATGAATAAATGAGATTTCTTTTGAGATGCTAACTTCGCTTATTTTTAGCACAAAGCGGCAATTTTTAGAACAAAAGACAGCTATATATATGCTAGTAATTTTGAAAAAAAAAGGAATACAAAAGTGCATGTGTTTCGTAAAAAGAAAAGAATTTTATCAAAAGTTATCTCTCTTGATCGATCGTAATTGTTAAAACAATCAGCTAAGTATTCTTTTCATGACATATAAAACTAGACGCGCAAAATTTGTGTATATATTGTCGTCATAAATATCTGTTGCAAAAGTAGCTATTATTTATGCCATGTATTATCTGCAATAATAGGCATTAGATTATTATTATATTAGTAAATAATCAGTTACAATAAAATTTGAAAGCTCTTTTATTATAATATATAAAAAAAAATTAATTAAATAACATATATGTACACATTTTTACTCCCGACCACTGCAAACAAAGATTATGTACATATATTTATGTATATATAGCTAAACTTAAAAGACTGTATGTACAGTTACATTTTATACAACTGATTGTCGTATAGTAACACTTTGCTGTAGCAACAATACTATGACGAATTACATTTAAAACGATTTTCTACGGCAATTAGTTGTAATAACATTTTTATGTTACTTCTAGAAAATATTAGATCGATGCGAAGAAGCGAGCGGTGAGAACGTACAAGCTCACCGTCTGTCAATGCCGGCAAGAAACCATTGGCTTCTCTTAAGTGGCACGATGGCCGAGATGCAAGGCTAACATAATCAACCGTACTTTCTCCAAAGACCACGGGAAATGTTTGCAACCCGGCAACGTATTGCAATGATTGCAGTTTCAAATAATTGCATTTTTAAGGATTTTCTATTGTCTCATTTTTCATTATGATATTTCAATATTTATCCCCAAAATGTGTGTTTCAAAAAATTAGAGATTAAATTAGCTTAAAAATTTTAGATTAATAACTAAATAAAAGAGTATATAAGAACATTGAGACATTGTATTATCTATATAAATAATTATGTTTCTTAATATACTTGCAATTTTACCGAACTCTTTAGATTTATAGTATTATTACGATTCAATTAATAATTATTCGTTTGTTAACAATAATTGTAACAATAATTATAATTATAACTTTAATTAGAATAATTATTATAATTTTAATTGATGTATGGTACGTGCAATTAATTTTTAATTTATATTTTGCTAATGGCTCGTAAAATTTCTGTTTAATAATTCTCCACATATATATATAAAAATAAATAAGATTAATAATAGTTATAGTATAGCAAACTGTTTTGTCAAAAATTTCGAATGGCTGACACTTTAGCATTTATGAATTTCGTTAAAAAGATCTCTGATTGCTGAATGGTATGATCTTGAGCAATAATCACGTAATAAGTTAAGTACACAAACACATAATGCACAGTTATGAGACAATGCCAATAATCAAGGAAACTTTTCACTTTCTACAATCCAATCTACAATAATCAAAATAAATCATAATAATATTGTTTGATTAGGCCAATACGGTAGGTACACAACTTACAAGACAGCACACACGCGATCCATCAATGCGAACGAGGTCAACAAAAGAAAGTTTCAATCAACCGGGATGTATTTGTTCAAAATATATTTTCACATTTCTTGATTTATATTATATACATCGGATAGAAAATTTTTTAGTCATCAACTATATGGAATGCAAAATTCATGACGTGGCTAGATTTTGGCTTAAAAATTTTTACTCGGTCTTACATTATTCTTCGCTTTTCCGTCTATGTCGTTGTTGAACGCTTGACAGAGCTGATTCAATAGCATGTTGCGTTCAGTGTAAATAAAAAGTGATAATATCTATGAGAATAGATCGAATCTGAATCTATAAAATTATAATTTATCTATTATAATCACAAGCATCGATTATGTGTGTGTAATTAAGGGAAAGGTACTGTCTCTATAATAAAAGAGAATTGACATTTGTTTCGTTTTCTTTGCATGGTTGCAAATAGCCACTTTCATACCTGGATTACTTTTGCATACGGATACACTTTTTATTACCCGTATGAAAAGTATGAAAACACGCATATCTCACGCGGACTCTCGTTTTCACGCACATTGTAATGCACGTGGGTGCAATGACCTATATTCTTTAACTAAGTACAATTAACTTTTATTTAATTGTTCGTTACATTTTTACGCTTTCTATGTATAATACATGCAAAACGGGACTTAAGAATTCAAAGCAGGAAGACTAACTTGCTCGGCAAAGAATGGCTTTGGTCTGTATTATACTTTAGATTAGCCGTTATCAGACACCGATAAGAAACCGTCAATTCCTTAATTTCTGGTTAAAAATAGTCGCAGTAGGATTATTGATAATGCCTAAGACTCTTATCGTGCACTCCTTTCATAATGCATGCGCCCTCTCTTATTAGTACGGAAATTTATTCACATCAAGGGTATAACGTTATTTCAGTCGCAGAGATTTCTGACAATGAGCATTAAAATGTATTCTTTCTTTCATTATTTAATAAGACGGACACGCAGTACATACTTAAAAAGTCAATTAATCAAAACGCGGAAATCAATAATGTCTATTTAATAAATATGTACTGCATATACAAATAATTAAATCGATAAAATATAAAATAATTATAAATTTAAATTAAAACATTGAATTTTATTAAATTGAATCTAATGTCCAATAAAATTTAATTGAAATAAATTAATTATAAGAAATAACGTTTTGTGATAAAAAAATGTTTTTATTTATTAAGGTGGTTTTATCGAGCAAGTCCCAGTAAAAAATTAGTTCATATGACTAATAATATAATAAAAACAAACGTAATTCAATAAAAATATTTTGCATAGACTGTACATATGCAATTGTATGACGTTTATGTGACAACGTCACACTATGTGTTGGCGTTGAGCGATAAAACCACGTTAAAAATAAGAACCTTCACATTTTTGGAGTAAGTAATAATATTTAAGTTTTTAATTAACAATGATCATAATCAAAATAATTTATTACAATTAAATGGATATTAATAAATAGAACGACTTGTTAACTGATTATAGATGAAATATTTGTGAATTATTTTATATAAAATACTAAACACATAATTTACTTCTATTACTGTGAAGCATAAATAATAACGTGAAAATGCAAATAATTAAAGTGTTAAATATATAATAAAGAAAAATTATAATTGTATTAATAAAAACTGCAATAAATATAATAGTTTTCTTGAAAGAATTTGTTTATTTATTGAATCTGATACTTTTAGATGTATCTTTTTTTAAATTACTATATATTAAGACAAAAATAACAATAATTTTCTAAATTAATAGCTTTAATTTAAATGTATACGTAAAGACAAATTAATAAGAACTATCTATTGTAACATGTATATGTTCAAAACTTCCGGATCTTCCAAAAGCGATGACGTATTTTAACAACGTATTAAATAAATCAGAATTAAAAGTTAAAAAAATTATACGAGTTAAGATACTCTATTGTTTAATGTAACTATGTTCATTTCCATTAATTTTTAGAAAGGATAAACGCTCTGGCTACATTAAGCGTGACAATTCAGACTCGCTGCGACATACCTTGAATTTAACCATGACACACGCGCGTAAACCGCAGTCTTGGCACTACACACAGATTATCCGACACTACGTGAATCTCCTTACTCCTGAAGCGTTCCCTCTGCTTTTCGCCACCGCACTTTAAGGGAAGTCGCGCCTAACCGGAGCTTGTCGTGTGCGATTTAACGGTGGCTTTTCGTATCACACGTCGCGCGCACCATACTGGCATTCGTCGGCCCGCAGCCTCTTTGACGTGCGAGCACCACGACTCGCCGGTACTAACACAAAAAATGTTCAGTCTCGTATGAAGACTCCGCTTATATAGACTCCGAGAAGACTACCAGTCGGAGGAGTTGTCGACTGAAGTTGCCGGGTGAATCGTGGAAAGGAGACCCAGGAAGAGGAGAGAGTGAGTGCGCCTAAGGGTACAGAGAGAGGAGAGAGGAGAGAGAGAGAAAGAGAGAGAGAAGGAGAGAGAGGGCGTATAGAGAGATTATGTGGGGAAGAGCGCGAGAAGAGGCAGCCCTCCTCATATGTCGTTTAAAAATTCTCTTTGTAGAGAAAGTAGGCTAGCCTTGCCTCGCCGAAGAAGTCGATGATGCGCCGCGCCGCACGTGTAATCCCCGGACCCCGGTGACCATAGCACGTCCGTCGTGTGAAACTGGTTGTAAATCCTTCCGCGGCGCACAGAAGACAGTTCGGAAGGATTGGTCAATCGAATACTTCACCTTGTACTCGACAATAAGAACCGGCGTAAATTATCGGCTGCGTGTCTACTCTCTGACGAGTCTGACGGAGATCGAAAAAGTGCAGTAAGACCATGCGGTTTGCATGAAAATGCAAGTGAAATTTATGGTAAACTGTCTGTGTATTTTACATGACTGAGGGACATTTGTTTCGGCAGGTCAGTTGATACTGGTCAATAAATGCTGGCATATATATGTACATACGCGGCATTTGAGATTCAAATTGCCATTCTTTATTCTTGTTTAAGACATTTGCCGGCACTTAATTTGAGGATTGATCAAGAATCAGTAAATACATGCATACATGATTGTTGAGTCTTGAAGGATGTTCATCAAGTGTGTTGCATCGCATGTATGCACAAGAAATCTTACGCAACGCAACGTAATAATTGCAGATTGATGTAATCTTCAATCGTACTGATTAATTATCGCAATGTGATCGGAACGTGTAACGACTTTATTGCGATACAGGAAAACAGCTGAATGCTCTTTACTTCTAAATAAAACCTGTCTTTCATCAAAAATATCATAATTACTGCTTGTATCTTTATAGAATTAGTTAACGAAGGAAAAAGACTATTATTATGTTATTATATCAAAAGCGAAAAGAGTTTATTAATAAAATAAAATGTCGATGTCATCATTGTATTTTTAAAAATTTCTTTTAGTATTTATATGAATAATTTATATAAGTAATTTGTTGTCAAATTGATTAGTTGCCTTATAATAATTTATAAATAATTATAATTGTAATTTAAGATTTTAAAAAGCAATATCTAAATGTTTATCACGAAGAAAAGTTATTTAATTATTTTCTTTAAGCATTAAAGACATATTAAGTTCGATAGAAGAAACTTCTTTAAAAAAATAAAAAATGAAATAACCAAATAGTTATAATACATATTTTTATATATAATTTTGCATAACATTTTACGTAGAATATTGTTAGAACATTTTTAAACTTTTAATAATGATTAAAATTTTCTTTTGATGTAAAATAAAAAGAACGGAAAGCAGCAGTTTACGTATCTGCGCATACCGGATGCACACACGCCTAGCCCGATTGAGATCCATTACGTTGTCATCAATAATTCAGCGAAAAAGTACCGCCCCTCATGACCTGCCTTTGCTTGTCCGTCGACAGTACCATCTATCGCTGACGCTGTTGCTGCCGCAAAAACCTCGGAATAACGAGAGACCCACAAACAAAATTGTTTCGTCCAAAAGTTCTGTGTGTGGCACAGAGGAAGCGGTGAAGGTAACTAGTTGCGGTACGCGCTGGAATTAATTGTCGAACGACACCGTCCATCGGAATTTTTTCCGGCACGGCCCCTCTTTATTCACCGATTTCTGCGGCTCGAGTTTCCATCACATCGTTAAAACGACCACCAGTGTGTCGTCATCATAGGAATTTATTGTAAAACTTTCGAACACATTTTTTATATATTTGGGACATATATTTATTGTGTATTAATTAAATAATAAAAATTTATTTTTCGTTACACTACTTTACACACACTGTATTGTTTTAATATTGATTTGTACCAGACATATACAATATTGACAATATGTTATCGCACTATATTGTCAATATTTCTTGACGTGATGTAATGTTAATAATTGATTTAGGACGATATTATATTATTGTTTATAACATATGTGTTATTTTGATAAAATATATTGAATTTTTCTTTTGTAATTTTATGTACTTAAATGTATACGAGTATAACATATTTTACATTTAACTTATTAATTTATGATATAAATTGATATTTAAATGCAACGTGAATTTGAATTACGCTATCTAGATTTATGTGTGAATTTGACATTTATAAACGTACAAGATACTGTAAAATGATTTCATTGCACATCTTCATTTCTGATTATTAAGATTCATTATTTTATGAGATATTTCAGCCAGAATAAGTCATCTGCAGCTGAATCAGCGGATGTTCCATGTGTCTGTGTGCGAGTGTACGTGTTCAACAATATATCCAATCCTTCGAAAAACCATAACTTATGATGGTGTCAGAAGAAATTGGAAGTGTTAGCTTTGTCTTTAATCTCATCTCTTAGCGCTCGGCTGACGTTTATATTATAAATAATGTGCGCACTCACAGAGAATTTTCTAATCTGATTAAACTATCAAACTTGTATTACTGAAGTTGTAGTTCGATACATTATACCCGCTTCTCCTTTAACGTGAGCTCCCGTGTGTATTTTGTAAAATAAGTGGTATATATATTTATAAAATTGTATAGAGAGACTTTTAAATAAAATTTTCTTTCAAATTAAAATATATTTAAATATTGAATAATCTGTATGAATAATTCAATTTCATAATTAAGCAGTTTCTATTATCCTGTACTAAAAATAATTCTTTAAAATAATTTTTAATAAGAAAATTCCAAGAGATTATTTTAGAAGAAAAATACATTTTTGAGAATAGATGCATAAAACTACAAGAATTGCAACGTCTTTTTTTATTTTCAATCACGCGTGATATTAAGCTAGTAGCTGTACTCCAGTACTCTACTGCCAGTACTCTATATATATTTTCACGCAACGAATAGTTAGCCATGAAAGGGAAGCTATCAGTTACAGCAGGATCCATGGTCAAGGTGAACGGTCGACGGTCGCATTGAAGTTTTAGGGTCACGTCAAGTGGAATGCGCGCAGGTGCGGCAACATCTCGTATTGCCAGGTAAGACTTTCTTCTTTCTTTCGCTCGAGGTCATCGTAGTGAGATACGTTGAGAGAAATCAACGAACGAAACGCTGTTCCAACGACATCTCTAAACTATGGGTACTTTTGGAACAGAAGTTTTTTTATTGGCTTTTTAGCTAGTATGTTATAAGTAAAAGTGCACTTTCTTCGTTATACAAACATTGATAAACATCATTAACGCGGTGTGCTAAAAAGAAAATTTGGAAACTTCTGGCGTAATGCATAATTCAAACTAATCAAATTTTTTTAGGCTTACGCCTTTCTCATATCAAATCAAATACTTTCTATTCATAAACACGTAGAGAAATTATCATAACCACATTTATTTGAATAATGATTTTTTTATATAAGTCAATTTTAGCATTATTTTTTAATTTAATCTACTCTATTCTGCATATGCTTAATTTTGTCTGCATTTAAAGTAGATATTTGTTTGCATTTAAAGTAGATAATTGATAAAATGTAAATTTATGAAGTAGGTATAATGGCTTATATTGGTTACATAATTAAGAGCAGTACTAAGCGTTTCATGCAAACATAATACGAGCTCCTCAAATGAGTATTCCAATGTTCATTTCATATATTAAGGGTTAATACCCATTGGCAAATGGCAACAATATTGGAAAATCTAGTAAGTGTCGATCCGTACAATTTATCAGCCCCAACTGGCTTGTCACACCTGATCTCCTGCTAAATCGTCCGCGCATCCGGCAATCCGCATATACCACAGCTGGCTCGATTTGCAACGAACAACCAGAAGTGGCTCAGTAAATTAATATTTGGTATACACATTTGCTCGTAAATATGGAAGAATGAATAAGTCAATTTGTGTAATAACAAAGTTATATCTTTTTCAACAATTTATATAGCGCATTTTGCAATGTGCATTGAAGTTTTACGTAATTTTTATTATTACATCAAAGAGATCAAACCCTATTCATAACGTGCATCTGTACAGCTTTGTGATTTCATATAGTAACACTTTGTATAATAACAGATGTGATTATTTTATAAAGATCGAAGATTATCTGAAGAATATCCTTTAAAGAAGGGACGTAAAAGTGCTGTTTATCAGTGATTCAATGAATAATCGGTTCTTTGAAATAAGTTTATTCAAATGAATGCAGGACAGAGAATGCACAGTGGGCTTTCCTTTCAATCGGCTGATGACTTCTTTTCCAATCGACGAACTGACTCGACGAACCTCACTTATATAATTACGGACGTCTTTCAATGCAAAATGCTCGACCCTCCATTCTTACAATATGTAGATGCTGTTTCACCAATGACACCTATTACATTGTGACGAACGTTTTCACTAATACATAGTAATCGTGACGAACCGACGCAAATCTTCCGCACGCATCTCCAGTGACGAAACTCAATACTTATTCAAGCTACAAGACATGTCCCAATATACATGTTACACGTCTAATTACATCCGGATATTTTCATCATTGACGTAAATGACATATATTTATGTTGTCGTAAATGTAACAAAAATTACAACTGCGTTTAAATCCCATGTCGAGAAGGAAATTACTCTCCCTTAAAAATTTTGAAAATAAATGCTTCCTAAAATTTGTAAATGTAATTGAGTAAAAACTTATCACTACTTTTAAAAATTATTATAATTTGTCTGAAAATGTGTTGTTACATATTTAAAATTATATAATGTTTCCCTTTTTTTTATTTATTACATTGTATATCTCTTTTTAATAAATTTTATGTTAAGAAAACAGTTGAGAGTTCTTAACAATTATACGTTAAATCACAGAAAATTGATCGGTTATATACAAGTATATATATAGCAAAAACGTAATAAAAAAAAAATAAAACAGTAAAAAACTCACGAAACAAATGAAAGCGTGTGCGCGTATCGCTTTGCTGAGCGGGCGAATACGAAAGAGGAAACGATCACGCTCTTACGTTGAATGAGAAAGAAAACACGTCGGACATTTTTCTACCATAAATCCGTCGTCGTAAAAAGAAACGAGCAAATTTTCGTAATACGGTCGCTTCCGTAACTGGGCGGTGAAACGAAGCACGCGCGAACATCATAATACAACGCTGAGAATTTGGTGTTTCGAGTGTCTGCTTTTTATCTCGCATTTTACTTGCGCCGATCTCGGGCGTGTCGTAAGCCTGACAAATACTAGGAAGCTGCTTACGCACAATTCGAACAGTTCACTCGCGAACGTATTCCGTTCGCATCCTCGTGAAAACGAAATTTAATTTATACAAGACCTGTCCCTTTCCCAGATCTGTCTGATTACAATTGCTTAATTATGTCTCGAAAAGAAAAGAAATACAATCGATTAGAAATATCGGGCGCGTAACATCCGACGTGAAGAACGGCGTTTGCAGCATGAAGAACGTCCGCGGCCGTGACAAGAAATAGAAAAATTCTCCACCACAAAAGTTTGGCCGGTTTCTCGCGGTGGTGTGTCGTAATTGCATTTTCCCTTACAAAGTCATCCCGCCGAATCGATGACTGGGAGCTTACCTCCGCGCCGCGTTCTCGACTCTTTTTCTGTCCCCTCGCCGTCGCCAACGGTATATCAGGTAATGACGCGGGCGCGAAATTGGTTTGATGTCGGCCATTATCGGAGAAAGTTTACAGCGTTCGTGTTTTACCGGAGTTTATCATCTCAGTTTCTCCCCCTTCTACGTGGGGGCTATCACCGTCTACTCGCTTCGGCTCAGGTAGTCGCGAATTAGGATACTCCTGCGCGCCGAAATGTTCCTCGATCATCAAAATTTATCTACCCTCTGGTTTACAGCATGTAGTTTTATGCCAAAAAGAATCGTAATATGTACTTCATGTCTCAGCTTATTCGTTCTTCCATTTAATTATTGCAACAATAATTTCCCTCCACACGTTGGACATAATTAGCGAGAAATGTGTATGACGTTTTTCACCTTAAGTAAAATATTTCTTCTAAATTAAAATAGACTTTATCTTTATCAATAAATATATCATTAAAATTTAATACAATTGGAAAGATGAAACGCTACTTTTGATTCCTTTGATAATTCCGGAAAGTTTTAACGTTTTCATTGATATGTAATCTTGTGTAAAATAACAAACACTTCGCATAATGCCCAAATATTGCAAAGCTGGTATCTACTTTTAATATTGTTTGATGCTATCGTGTGATAAGATAAGTATGTGAGAATATTGAGATTAAGGTATAATTTTATGTTTACAAAATTTTAATTAAATTTTAATTTTAGCTTAACTGATTCTTTGTAACTTGAGATGAAGATAAACAATTGGATAAATTACGTTTAAAGTCGTAATATCAATAATTGCTAAAATAGTCATACGAGCTTCATACGACAAAGTAGGACACTGCGGAGGAATTGAACTATAGTGAATTCGTCAATGCATGCGAAAGACCTATTTGTTTATTTTACGCATCATAATAGCGGCCGACGAATGCACGAATCATTCGTTTCTCGTGCTGTTAACCAATAATAGAACTCATGCCGCCGCTTGTTGAAAACGAGTCTGTAATCAGGTTTCACTGTAACTTTGCTTCCACCTATCAGAACCTCATTCTTCTGATTACAGGTATCACGAAAATCGTCGTTCCCAGCAATAATACAAACCAGAATCGCGCTCATTATCCTTCTCGAAGTCCCGGCAATCAAGTGTGTCGCATGAGATCGGTACGTTCTAGTTTTGTGTAAATAAAAAAAAAAGTTATGTATTCGTGCCTTTAATTACGTCATATTAATTTAAATAGTCAATAGTATTTTTTGCTCAAAATATTACCGATAATCTTTTCTCTTTATAAAAATAAAAATAAGTGTATACTTCTATAGCTTAATACTAATAAGCGTTACGCAACTCTCTCCTGTAATTGAATTTTGAAAAATATGTACTTAGTAAAATATATATTGTTACGCAAACTTCTCCACCTGACTACAGAATTTAGTTCCGCTGAAAGTAGCAAGAAAAAAAAATTAACGGTAAACATTACTCTCACTTAAGCATACATTCCTTCACGAAGAGAAATTATCGCGATTGCTACATTAACGGTCTTTACAGTCCATCATCTTCGATGCCTGCCGCGCCGACGTAATATACATCATGTAATAACTAATAAGCGTTCGTTGCAACGGAACTGTAACTCTGCGAATTGTATTACTCCACGCCATTCACATTAAATACGTCCCAAGGGGATACTTTCCCTAGTAATGTCAATCTGACAGACGCGCATCAAGCTCTCATGACAAATATAAATTTCGAAAGTCATGCGCGGTCAATTTGATGTCATTCTATACACACCGACGTCGCGTCGTTGCGTGTCACGTCGCGCAGAGTTCTTATCCTACGGTTGTGGGTCAGATCCTTAATCGGATGTGCATACAGAACGGGCGGAATCGGAATCTGCAATTTAAACGGAGTACGTCAGAGTTTTCACTCGGATGAATCACCAAGTGAAATCACGTATATCTCCGCGTTCCGACGGCGCCACGTACTTAGGGGCTCCAAAAATACGTAACATATGAAAATCCTGCTTTCATTCTTCCCGTCTATAGACCCGGATGAATCTCGAAAATTCATATATTATGACAGACGAAACCTCGTCTCGTTGAAATTAGATTTGCACCGCTGAATAAATTCGAATTTCTCGTCAAATTATTCCATTCTATTTCAAAGAGACTAAAGATAAAAAAAAAAGGAGAGACAGACATCTTCATTTTTTAAATAACAAGATTCCTTCTATAAACAATTTCGAAAAGTTAATTTTGAAATGTTTAGCGTGTATGTGAAGCAAGTTAATTGGAAGCTTAAATATAGCTTAAATTCATTATTATAGAGGACCATCGCGCGAATCTACAATATGTCTCAGAAGACATTCTCTTAAAAATTCCTTCATTTCGAAGGAATCTCTATAAAATTCCGAACATGGTACAACGACATACACATTGGCGAGGCATATCCGCCATGCTCTTCCTATATTTCTACGAAGCGGCCATTCACAGCGGGTCATTAACATACATTCCTGTGGGTAGGCTTCATCTTCAGGGCCGCCGGATCACGGTGCACTTTCTCCCGAGACAAAATTTTCGAGCGTTGTTTCAAGCGTGGGACTTCGAGCCGACCATTTTGAGTCCGTTTTTTCGCACCGTAACCGTAAAATGAGTATAAACGCTATTAATCTTCTTTGATCGCGTTAACCGCGAAGTGTGCTTCTCACATTACGACGCGTTTCAAAGATATGGAAATAGGATTTCGCAAAGTCACGATAGAAGACGACAGAGAATGGAAAGTGGATTAATGAATATTCTGCTCCATTCATACAATCTGTTACGAAAACAGTTGCCAGGTGCTAAATCATAACCGCGAAGATACAATATCAAGTACATACAAATGTATGTAAAATTTATGTAAAAAAATGTTCGTAAAGTATCATTTTTCTCGTACAATTTACTCGATTTTGCACGTATTTGTATTTGAATGTAAGTATTATTTTGTAAATGTTATGCAGATAGAGTAGTAAATAAATCTGAATTATTTATTCACTAATTTGAATAAAACCAATAGGCAAAAAATTACAGATATATTGATGATACGCGTTTTATATCTGACAGTCTCGCAATAATTGCTTCAAATAATTATATTTAGAATATTAGTTCACATTTAAATTTAATTTATAAATGCGAGACGCATTAAACTTGACATTTTAATAGTAATAAAACGTGATTCCGTCACGTGAATGTGTTTTACGCAGCCATTAAAGAGTAGAAGACTACTATGTGACACAAGAACATGAAACTGCAGAGGCCGTCGGAGTCTCGTGAAAGCGTCCTTGCCGCTTGAACTTGCGCAGCGTCTGTTATGCATTATGCCCGGTCATTATTAGCCAAGTGAAGCAATGATCACTCATTAATGGATGCTGGATAGAAATTTAATGAAACATTTTGTCCTAGAATAGACATATTTTATTTATTAAATAAAATAATAAATAAAAATCAACAGATTTTATTTTATCATTTGCACTTTCGTTTACGTAACCAAATATTCCACGAATAAGAAATGATATTCATGACTTACATAGTTGCTAGTGTACTCAAATAATAAATCTCATGCACACAAGACTACTAAATTTGTTATTCTTATACATTTTTATTTTACTTTTTACGATTTTCTGTTTCTTTGCTTTTAAAAAAGCTTTGTCCCTGACAATTGGTATACACAGGCAGTTCTGTACTAACTTTTGACATTCGCTTCGTGGTAAAGCAACCTTGCCATACCGTGCGACATTTCGCGATAACGCGAATAGCGTCAACGATCCTCAAAGCCCACGACAATATTTCCTAACCGACCATAACTATCGGCAAGAAACATCGTTGCATAAGCCGTTTCGTAGAAGCGAGCCGTAACGAGAAATCTAGAAGGCCGAACGTGCAAAGAAGGGCGCAACTTCCGTCTGCCCAGAGGTGGGCAGGAACGATGGAGCGTGATACGTCGCCGACGTGTCAACTTGTCGCGCGAGCGATCCGAACGAGCCCGCGCCGCGCCGAGAGTGGAAAAAGAAGCGCGAGTCAGACCGCGGGAGTGCGGTTGCACTTTCTAAGGCAGGCGCGTGGTAAATCTCTGATCGGTAAATCGCCGAGCGATTACGAGGCGTGGAAGCCGTCGCGGCGGGCTCACAGCGCGCTGCGTGCAGAAGGCGATTCGTTCCGGTCGGTAGACGAAGGCGCCGGTGATGGTGGTAGTAGTAGTAGTAGTAGTAGTAGTGGTAGTAGCAGTTCCCTTCTCCGGAAAATCCGGTCGCCCGACAATTGTGACCTCTCGTCGCGGGAAGGAAACCCTAAACGAGGAGGCAAGAGGAACAGAGCGAGAAGGGAGGAAGAAGAGGAGAAAGGTCGGGAGACAGTACCCGAGAATACTACTTGTTTCGATACCGCGAACCTTCTCCAAGGTGCATTTGGGACCGGCTGCGTTAATTCGGAATATAAATTAGTCTGCCGTGTAGCACTGGAAATTATGCCGTTTCTCCGGTAGAGGAGCACACACGTTAATTAGTTACTCGGAAAATAGTAAATAAGAATTGAGATCTTATTTGTAATCTGATACAAATAATAAGTTTGTTAATTATAAGAACATTTTTCAATGCACTGAAACCGAGCGTAGAAGTTTTATTATGAACATTCTTTCAGTTGAAAACAATGAAAATGTTGCATTTTATAAATTTAAGAATTGTAGTTAAGAACTTATGTATAAAAGTATAAATTTTTAACATTTATAATACTACATTTTTATTTTCCGTTGCGAAAAAAAATGCGAATTAAAATTCATAACATGACTAGTCAAATACAATTAAATGGATTAATTCCATGATATTAAATTTTATTGTCGTGTCATGCGAGATCGACGAGAGCGATTTAAGGAGCGATACCTAAGGAGAATTAACATTCGCCATAAACGACTAAGCGCCATTCAAATTGCTTAAGCTGTTCAAATTAAGTTATGCAATTAATCATTGCGAGAATAAGATGGTAGGATATCATGTAAATAAATGTAAATTGGTTAGCACGCGACTACAATTGCATAGCGTATAAGTCCGCAAGATTTGATCGCAGATTAAATCAAATTCTTATTAAGATGGAAGGATACTTTAGCGAGGCGCTCGAAGATCGCTATAATCAGCATGAATAATAATTCGACAGGTCACGTATATCAGAGTTTATCTTACCGGTCACCATGATAAAAATGCATATATATTGTATATATATATATATATATATGTGTATCCATATATATACTTACAACAACGTTGAGAAATCTGGTTATCTGGTAATACGAGTACTCGTCACGAAAAGGAAATGCCGACGAATGAGGAGATACGAGGGGGAAGACGGAAGAATGGGTAGTCACCTCGATAAGAGAGACCTGCAGGTTCGTCCTCCTAGTCGCAAACTTGTTTGAATGCATTGCTTCCGAATGCAAATTGCAATTTGCCGCTGACGAGAAGAGAAACGGAAGTAACCCGGTGACGCAAAAGCGAAGAACGTTTCTTTAGGCGGTTTATGGTGTTCATTAGAGTTCGAGATCGTAGAACTTAATTTTATCGCCAGTTGTTTGATCATGGTTAGCAATGTTGATTGCAGTTTATCGTTCATTCACAGCTAAATTTTTTTTCATGTTAGCGAAGAAAAGATGTATTATTCTGCTTTCTTAAGTAACAAAAAAAACATCTCTTTGCAGCGTTTTATTCAATTTTATTTCAGTTAAGAAGAAATCTAGTTAAGTTATTATTATAAAACCATTAAGCTGCGAAATCTGTCGCTCTGGTACATTGTAAACATAATTCAAATATTTATATTAAATGCTAGCTGCGAAAGAGAGCATGACAAAAATTGTAGCGGGAAAGCGTATAGTGATAAAACGGCAAAAGAAATGACACAACCATCTGGAGAGGGAAAGCCTTCACTTTTGCCCGTAGGGAAAACCTTCGCTGCTTCCTTTGCTCCATCTCTCTGTCGACAATTCTTGAATACATTGATTTTCACTGCATATCTCGATTTACTGGCAATGAAACGCGAAAGAAGACTACTTCATGCGCGCGCGCGCGCGTTCAAAGAGTTGATCTTTGATATTCTATTCTTTTTCAAAAACATCAGGAAATTATTATTACATAAGAAGTTATATCCTCTAGATATTATAGTTGCATATAATAAACACGATTAAAATAAAATTACGAGTCACTCTGTGTATCAGATTATCTCTTGATCGCGACAAGTGTCAGGAGACGGCAAGCGTATAGTCATTTCCTTCGAACATTTATAAAGTTTGTCAGTTTAGATGATTACTTGATTCCTGACTAATGACTTGTAAGCATGTCGAGGCGATGGATATTTATTGCAATAAATATCTTACATGATTTATCCATTTAAAGCAGACATTGAAGCAATACTTAGAGATTTTTTCGATGCGTGCATATGTCACACACGCGCCAAGTAAAAAAAGAATAACAAATTATTTGCAGTCATACAGCATATGTCAAAGTTATCCAATTAATAATGTTTGTTTTTTGTAATACATCTATTCCATTGCAGTCTTCATCTTATGTTTATTAATAGCTTTTATCACTTAAAGCAAAATGTAATGAGATGTGAGGTATAATGAATATTTTCTCACTGACAGATTTTATAAAGCTTATAACATCGACGCAGAAAAAAGATATATTAACAATTCCTATTCTTCCATTAAAAAAAAAAAATATGACATGTCATATAATATTCAACGGAAAATCGCACGAATATTGCAGACGAAACACACCATTGATCCGATATAACATGCTGAAAGAATAAATGTAATACTGGCACTATAACACATCTGTCGTGCAGTCGACGAAGTCGACGTATGGCAATCGCGAAACGAACATAACTTATTAACGTCTGACGCGTGTGCACTCGTACACATTAGAATCCGCAGTACATTAGAATAACTGGTGCATCCATGGAATTTGGTATCAGAGAAATTCTGCCGATCGATGACAGGATGCGCGATGCGCGCTAGTCGAACTTTCGTTTCAACTAGTTCTCTCTACCTCTCGTTGAATCGGCAATATCTTCCTAAATTATACGGCTGTGCATTGCTATGCATTCTGCGCGGCCGTTGATGCAACGCCAGTGCGAGAATGTATGAGAAGGTGCGAAGGGGCGTGTATTTCGCGCAGCGATTCAATCGTCTCGTTGACGCGAAATAATATAAGACTACCGTTTTCAATTTTCTGCGAAATTGCAAAATACGCATTAACATAATTTGTTGTACGTACAAAGAACAGGAAAAATAATGACAATTATACTGAATAATTAAATTGCAAAATATCAAATCAAGCAATTAAGTTACAGAAACGTGTCATTGGAAAGATCTGTAATAACAATAAAATTATTTTGTAAAAGCTACATTAGTATCATATTTCTCGTGTTAACTATATTTTATTCATGTATATTACGTTTTTATATAGATATCAGTAGTAGAATGATAGAAAGTATGCAGAAAATAAAAAAATTTTATATTATAATGCATTAGAATTATAACACATTCAAGAGCAATATAGGAAAAGAAATAATCGACCGTAACTGCGTCATATAATTGATATTTGTATTAAATAATAAAATATAAATAAAAGTGAACTCTAATAAAACAATAATAAATGCTTAATTTATTAGTTATTACTAGCATGCAGTAATGTTTTACAATTTTATTCTTTATGAGCTAGTATACAATCGCAATTCTGGTGAAATAATTTATTCAAAATATATGTCTTAATTTACTAAGTTATAATTCTACATCAAGAGATGCTTAATATTAGAAAATAAAACAGAAGAATATATAAACTTGTTACAACTTTGTCCATGAAGTACGCTTAATTTTGTAATCTCCAAGGTAGATAGAAAATGCTGAAAATTATCATTTATTAATCCAAAGTTTACAGTCCTAATTTACTGGAATACAGAAAGTTTGCAACACACAAGTTTTCGAAAACAATTTATTTTCCATGCAACATAATCGTATTTTCTTTTTTATATAATTTCAAACATTGTAAGCAATTAATTCAAAGAAAAAATTCTTTTAATGTAAATTTGTACGAATTTTTTTTTAAGTCTTTCTAAAGAAAAATATAAATAAGTAATACTCATATTTTCTGTTCCTAAATAAAATACACAAACATTAGCATATAATATAATATAAAATAAAATATCTAAATTATCTGTTATATTATAATAAAATATACGAATGTAAAAATTATGATAACTAATTTAGATATAAAATAATAAAAAAATGTTTCTAAATAATTTTATTGCTTTGAATTACAGCAGCTTGCACGTTTTTCAAATAATTAATATGCAAAGAAAACTATCTTTGATTATTTATATTTACATAAATAAATCCGGTTCTCATATCTTTCACGAACGTACATCTTGAAATTTAATGGAGACGTCATCTCATATTGCTGCTGTCGTGAATGACCACTTTCTTCACCTGCAGAGGCCTTCGCGTCGTGAGGCGAAATTTCTGACACACTCCTCGAGGCCTTTAGTGTCCGACTTACATATACAATCAGAATCTCAATCTATTTCGTTGA